TGAATCTTCTGAAGGTGTAAAAACCTGGCTCTCAATATTGGAGACTGTGAATCTCCTGTGGCTCGGATGACCACGTAAAATGGCGGTCCCGTCTCCAGTATTAGTAAATATAGTAATACTAAGACCAATGGGGACGTAAAAGAACCACTGAGGACGTAAAAAAAACTCTGGCTGTGACCACCCTCAGTGCCATTCGGCTAAAAAAAGGCTAACTACCTGGCTGTACCCAAGCTAGGTCACACCCCATGGCTAGCTATAGCCCTGGACGTTTATTCCTTACGGACTTGTCCAGTATAGAAGTAGAAGTAGAATTAGATTCACTTACGGGGAGATATGGCCAGAATTCTCCACCCAAATAATCCTTTCTAGCACATACTACAGTTTTCGTGACATTCTGTTTTTTCCAGAACAATGTGCATATGCGAGCGAGCGAGGGCGTGCGTGCGTGCGTGCGAGCGTGCGTGCGTGGGTGGGTGCATGCGTTCGTGCGTGCGTGCGTGGGTGCGTACGGTCCACGTGTGTGTGAGTGGGTGCATGGATGCATGCATACGTGCGTGCGTGCGTGTGTGCGTGCGTGCGTGCGTACGTACGTACGCTCCGTGTGTGCGTAATAATGCATTAACGCACGTCAGCCATTAAACGTAAAAGCCCCGGAAAAAAATGTTGATTACCGACGAATTTCATCCTATTTTTAATTTCTGATCTGACGTCATATGCGCCATCCCCAGGGTTACGGTCGGCAGCGAGCGTTGCCATGGTAACGGCGGTATTGTGGGGCACAGCGTCACCAGGATGAGCGCGCTGCATCTAAGCTGGCTCGGCGGATGGCTAGAATATGTATATTTGCATACACACGCACGTACGCACGCATGTACGTACGCACGCACGCACACAGACACACGCGCACGTCTCTCCTCCTTCCACTCGCTCTCTGTCTCTCTAATCCACCCTCAGGATGCCCTCGGTATCATCAAAGGCGCCTGGTCCCACCCAAGCAATCTGGCTGCCACTGAAGTCTAGGTGTTCAACGTGGTGAAGTCCAGCGAACACGCCCGGTTGCAGTGACACAAGACTGTTGCCGGCAAGTTTTAGGATCTCCAGCTGCCAGGCGTCACTGAAGGTTCCCGGATGTAGGATGTCGATACCGGCAGAGGTCAGGTCGAGAGTCTGAAACGGGAAGCAGACGCACTGTTGGCTCCTCAATCCAAAACGCGAGAAATGCGTTTTCTGGCTCAATAAGAACATTTTGTGATGTTTGCATACTGCAAGTATGCTCACAGTAGGTGTATGTAGGCTTTTTGTTGCGAGGGGAAGGGTGCTGCTATACTCACATGCAGGTCAGGCAAGCCAGTGAGCGCCCATGGGTGGATATTTCTCAGGTTGTTCTCAGCAAGGTCGAGGTGGAGGAGGTGACCATGCTGTAAGGCCGCGAAGGCTTCCCTGTGTAGTATCGTGATCGCGTTGCCGGCAAGGCTCAACGTTTCTGCAATAGATGAGGAAATCACATTGCACTGCCCGAAAGCAAACCAACCGTCGTTGCGTATTCTTACACGCGCGCATCTACATCCTAATGGTTACGTCGATCTGTCATCGCTTCGATTTGCAACTAGTCTGCTTCCACTCAAGATCTACCGATCACTTACCCAAGGTGTCTCCGATGGACGGGAAGATGACTGCGGGAACAGCGGTCAGTCTAAGTCGACTAAGAATGAGCACCTCTAGCCGCTCGGTGCCCGCGAATGAGTCATCGTACAGCAGTGGCGCCATCCCTTGGTCGTGACTGTCATGAATCGTGATCCAGCCATTGCCGAACTTGAACCCGTCGAAGGCGAGCGATGGAACTTCGTGCATGTCCTCAAAGCCGAGCAGCTCGATGCGTCCGTAGAGGATGTTGCGAGGTAGCGCTGCGAGCACGTCGAACGCGTGCTCGCTGGTCGTATGCTGGCCGTCACACGTGATGTACGGATAGTCGTGTAGAATGCGCTCGCACGTGCAGCCGCCACCGATGACCGGACACGGGTGATTAGCGCGAGTGACGGCGATGACCACGGCCGCCACGAGAAGGATGACCAGCTTACACATGATCGCTGTAGTAACTCTTTGTATGTGTAACTACACCGGATTGGATGGATGGATGGATGGATGGATGGATGGATGGATGATGGAATTGATGCTGAGTTTATGATCGGATGGATGGATGGATGGATGGATGAGATGGATGTATGGATGGATGATGTGAGGGATGGATGAGTGGATGGATGGATGATGAGATGGATGATGGAATGGATGGGATGGATGGCAGGATGGATGATGGAGTGGGATGGATGGATGGATGGATGGATGGATGGATGGATGGATGATGGTGCCGTGCACGCGCGCCGTGCGACGCACGCGGTGCCACGTGCGGCCGGCGCGCTGGTAAGGCTTGCGCCGGGGCAGGGTTCTCTGGCCGGGTTTTAGTGCCGGCTGATTTATGATGGATGATTTGTATTTTTTGGATGATCATGTGTATTTGTTGATATTTTGTATGTATGGAGTGGAGTGGTATTGGATGGATGATTGGTATTGGATGGATGGTATATTTGTATGGATGATTGGATGGATGGATGTGATGAGATGCATGATGGAGGATGGATGATGGATGGGTGGATGGAGTGGATGGAGTGGATGGATCAGATGGATGATGGATGGATAGGAGGAGGATGCATGCCATCATGCATGGCATGGATGTCATTGATGGGACTAAGGAGTCGGAACGGACGTGACGACGGGACGACGGACGGACGTTATCTTATCGTTCTTGACCGGACCGGTACGACGACGGATCGTGAGACGTGTACGACGGAGCGTATCGGTACGGTTGATGCGGACGGATGGATCGTGACGGTATTCTGACTGACGTGAAAGACAGACAGACAGTATGAGAGTAAGTATCGTCAGACGAATAATATCTGTTATTAGAGACAGAGAGCGAGTGGAAGTGAGGAGTAGTACCTGCTGTCGTGTGTCTGTTGGTGTCGTGCGTGCTCGTTAGTTGCCTACGTGTCATCGCGTGCCGTACGTGCGTGTGTATGCAAATATACATGATTCTAGCATCGCCGACCAGCTTAGAGCACGCCGCTCATCTGTGACGCTGTGCCCACAATACCGCGTTACCATGGCAAACGCTCGCTGCCGAGCGAACGCCTGGATGGCGCAATATGAGTCGATCTAGAAATTAAAAATATGTATGAAATTGTCGCTCAATTCAACATTTTTTCCGGGCTTTACGTTAATGCTGACGTGCACTTTGTAATGGCATTATACGCACACATGGAACCGTACGCACGCACCGCGCACGCACGCACGCACGGCACGCACAGACGCACGCACGCACCACACACGCACGCAACGCACGTATGCAGCATCCATGCACCCACCACGCAACGCCACGAAAGCCATGCACTCACCCACGCACGCACGCATCACACACACGCACGCACGCACGCACACAACGGGCCACGCACGCCGCTCGCGTCGCTGCACGCACAGCAACACGCACGACACGCCCTCGCTCCGTCAGCATTGACACATTGTTACTGGAAAAAACCGAAAATGTCACGAGAAAACTGTAGTATGTGCTAGAAAGGATTTTGGGTGGAGAATCCTGCCATATCTTCCCGTAAGCTGAATCTAATTCTACTTCTACTTGTATACTGGACAGGTCCGTGAAGGAATAAAACGTCATAGCTAGCCATGGAGTGTGACTTAGCTTGGTACAGCGCAGTAGTTGCCTTTTTTAGCCGAATGGCACTGCAGGGTGGTCAACAGCCAGAGTTTTTTACGTCCTCAGTGGTTTTTTACGCTCGCCTTGGTCTTAGATCTACTATAAATTACTAATACTACGGAGACGGACCGGCATTTTACGTGGCCCCCGAGCCACGAGATTCACGAGTCCTCCAAATTGAGAGCCAGTTTTTACACCTTCAGAAATGACTGCCGCCCCCGGCCGGGGTTTCAACTACTAGACTTGTGGACGTAACAGCACAACGCGTACCCAAAGCCGACGCCGGCTGCGTCTGCCCAGGCCCGGTCACGTGCGTGACGATCAGCTATTGAACGCACACCGACAGGTAATTCATCCTTAATTCCAATCACAGGTCGAAACCGCACGCGCACCGCTCAGACAAGGTGTGTTTGATATTACGGTTACCTGTACACGTCACGTGTAGGTAAAAGGCCGACTGACTCGCGTATAAATATGAGCTTTACTCCGCTAGAAGCAGTCACGTTTGGTCGCAACGTCAGGTGTGACATCAAGGAGCAAAGCAGCAGCCGGTAATTGTAAAGGTAACG